GCTTCTAATGCTGTAAGCTAAGACCCCACACCCCACCTGGGGTCTGTGTACTGGGATATATATGCTGCTGCCCTCCGCCCTCCCCAGCTCACCACTCAAACCCTGGGCTATAGGTGAAAAAGATTCAGGAGATACTCATTTAATTCCCACTGCTGTGAGGGCCCCTCTTTTGGGTGTTAGTATTAGGAACTCCTCAAAGCCTCTTTTTAGATGCTTCCTGGCCTCTGCAGAGTAGATTAGCACAGGTCGCAGCAGCTGGTACACATAGGGAAAATCCAGAGAGGAGGTTCACCAAATCTCTCCTCAGGTCCACTGCTGCCACGCCCCTTATCCTGGCCTGCCCCTCCCCAACCCTTCCCCAGACGGGAAAGCCCAGCTTCAGCTCTCCCAAATTCCAGGGACACACAGTCTGACATAGCACCAGGAACTCACCTCTTACCCAGGATCCCAGAGGCCACTTTAGAGCTAATGGCTTTCAGCCACTCTGCACAGGCTGACAGAGCCTAACCAAGGAGAAGTCAGTCCCTCAGGCTATCTAGCTGATGACACCAGGGTCGCCTGGCTGCTCTGAGAGGGAGGCAGAACAGACCTCGAGAAGTGAAAACTTTCAACTCCAGCCTGCCTAGACCCACTTAAACTCAGATTACCAGGCCTACTGCCTCTAAGAGAAAAACCATAGCACTGCCCAGCCCCACAAACCCACCAAGCTCAAGTAGAGGAAGTGGGGTTCCCAGATCAGCTGCTGGCGAGCACTTTGCTGAGAGCCATCAGTGGATGGCAGCAGTCCCAGAATGCCAGGCCCGACCTTCGGGCTGCAGGTTCTGCTTCACAGTAGCCCCAGAAGAGTCAGAAGGGACAGATTCTTCTCACTTTACAGATGAGAAAACCAAGTCCAGGAGAAAAAAATAAACAAAATCAAAGGATTATCTAGGTCACTCAGCTACAAAGTAGATACAGCTCAAAGGCTGCCTTACCACAATCCACTCTACGAGCTGAACATGGTATTCATCTTCACAGAGAACTGGCCGAGGCACTGAACACTTCCCACTGGCCCTGTGCTGTTCCAGCACAGCCACACTTGCCCTATCGAATCCAAAAATAAATATGCTGGATTTTTGTTTTGTTTTTAATTTTTTTCCTATTGATTTGGGAGTGAGAGGAAGGGAGAGGGAGAGAGAGATAGAAACATCAATGAGAGTGAACATCAATTGGCTGCCTCCTGCATGCCCCGCACTGGGAATTGGGCCCACAACCTGGGCATGTGTCCTGACCGGGAATTGAACTGGCGACCTCTTGGTGCCTGGGTCAGTGCTCAATCACTGAGCCACACCGGACAGACTAAATATGCCATTAAGGTAGAAAATGGATGTGGAGACAATGAATACCCCACATGGACTCAGTCAGAGAGGACACTGCTATCATGGAAGCTAGAACAAACCAGCAAAGCTGGTTTTTACCTAGACCAAAAATTCTCAAAGCACTCTTGGACTCTGACGACCAACCAAGAATGGGACCACTGTTTAGACCACCATCACCTCTCCCTCTATTACAGGTGACAAAACAGAGGCCCTGAGAAAGAAGGAAACATAACTAAAGATACTGAGTAACCCATAGTGTGGAAGTACCTAAGATCTCACCATCTCCACCAGTATTTCCTGGCCCTGCTGGATGGATGTCACCAGAGACCAAGAAGGTGACAAAGTACAAAAGGTCCATAGGGAGGCCAGCTCTTTAATACCCTGCAAGGGTGATCCAGGTGGAAAATGCAATTAACAAGTCAGAGACCCAGCTCAGCCCCACACTCAAGCCTGTTCTCCGGGTGATTCCATCCTTTACTAACTTTACCATCTCTCCTCTCCACACTTAAGCCTGCAAGCTCAGCCCTAGAGTCGTGGAAGGGAAGTGGAAGGGCAAAGCCTACAGGGGTGCCTCTACATGCTCCAGCTTCTGGGAAAGGTGACTACGGCTACTGGCCACATACAAGTAGAGCACGGGGAAGTCCAAGGTCTTATGTGCCAGGGCAATAAGGGGAGGAGGAGCCTGCTTCTGTTCCCATGGGTATTAATATCACTCTTTAAAGGCCATCAAGAAACAGGGATCATCATCCCAGTTCATAGCCCCAGGCTAAGAGCTGAACACAGGCTTCATAAGAATCCCTGACCTGGGACTCACCACTGGTCCCTGGGCCCATAACTTAATGAGCAAAAGAAGACCCAAGGATGCCCTGGCCAGTTTGGCTCAGCAGTTAGAGCTTCAGCCTGAAGATTAGAATCACCGGTTCGGTTCAATTCCTGATGCAGAGCACGTACCTCAGTTGCAAGTTTGATCCCTGGCCCCAGTCTGGGTCATGTGGGAGGCAACCAACTGATGTGTCTTTCTCACATGAATGTTTATCTCTCTTTCTCTTTCTCCCCCCTCCCTCCCACTCTATCTAAAAATCAATGAAAAATATCCTCAGATGAGGTTAAAAAAAAAAAAAGAAGGCCCAAGGAACTCAACTCAAGCAACTTGCCCAGGGTCCAGGAGCAAACTGCCTCTGCACACCACCTCTCACTACCCTAACATACATTCTTGTCCACCATACCTCTGCCATTCAAATATGGCACCTTAATTCATCTTTGACCTAAATAACATTTACTTAATTAATTCATGATCAATGTTCCTGGTGACACAGAAATGTTTAACACGCAGACCTTGGGAAGAAGTCACAGTGGTAGGCACGGTGGTAGGCAGATGGCAGGCATTAGTGCTGTTCACCAAATATTTTCAATCCTCTTCCCCTCCCCACTTTGTAGGTAAGTAAGTATGGCTATGTGACTGCTTTGGTCACTGAAATGCCACTTCTAGCTGGAAGCTTTAAGAGCTAGAATGACAGTCATCATTCTCTCTGTCCCTCTGTCCAAGTGATCAGGAATGTTTCAATTAATCCACATGGGTCCCATGTGAGCAAGAAATAATCCTCTGTTGCTTTAAGCCTCTGAAATTTGGGGACTGATACCACAGCAAACCCTTATCTATCTATTCTAGACAGACACAGACAATGACTCACTCCCCAGTACTCTGTGCAAGGCAGTGCAGGTCTTCCCTTCCCTTTCCCCAGCTATAAGGAGACAAAAGCTCCATCACCAATCAGCAGGGTGTCAGGGGCACCTGCTATGTGCCAAGACAGATGAGATGCTTTCAGAAGCAGGGTATCACCATAGGGCAGCAGTTCTCAACCTGTGGGTCGCAATCCCTTTGGGGTCGAGCGACCCTTTCACAAGGGTCTCCTAAGACCATCGGAAAACACATATTTCCAATGGTGATTCATAACAGTAGCAAAATTACAGTTATGAAGTAGCAACAAAAATAATTTTATGGCTGGGGGTCACTACAACATGAGGAACTGTATTAAAGGATCGTGGCATTAGGAAGGTTGAGAACCACTGATATAGAGCAACCTGCACCAGACTTACTACTTGCACTGTGGGCCAGGTTATTCCGTATATTAATCAACTGTAATCACTTCTGAAAAGAAAGCATTACCTATACCAGAAATAAGGAAACCCAGTTCACAGTGAGACCTTAAGCAAGTTACTCTGTGACCTCTCTGGGTCAGTTTCCTTATCTGTAAGATGGAACGTTCACATTATCTACTCTGTCTTGTCAAAGGTTAAGTTAACACAAGTGAATTTTCTGGGACAGTGCTTTGTATAGGTCTCAAGAAATATTAAGTCTCAATAAATTCACTATTACTACACACCTAACCTTCCACCTAATTGCTGTAAGCTTGTCCATAATGCCCAAGAGATTTTCCACGGAGCAAAGGTTTCCCTGGACTAGCACAATGGCATTTGTAGGCACTGCCCAACTGAATTCTACCTCAGCTAAAGTTAAACAAGCAACAAGTCAAACCTCTGAGGACCTGGTGGCCTGGAGTTAGGCCTCAGGAAGTGTTTCCAGAACCCAGGCCTTCCAGAACTCCCTGCTTCCTGGCCTCCATGGGAACTTCACTACCACCACAGACATGCACAGTAGGGCCACCTGCCCTCCCACTCTCAAACATGGGAAGGCAGGCACCCTCCCCTGTCCTGAGACAGCACAGCTGCCCAGCTGGTAAAGAGGGAACTTCCTTGGCCAGCCAACCCTTTTGAACTCAAGCTCAGATCAACACTATGAGCACGAACTCCATGTCCAGCCTGGGCTCTAAGACCACACACAGCTTACAGCTAGCCAGGCAGTTGTAAGCCTGGAACAGACTTGCAACCGCAGCTGGCACCCGGGCACCCCAGAGTTTCAATCATGCTTTGTTAAAGGAATGGAAGAAACCCAGAAATTCTCCAGCTGAAGGTGAGGTGCAACAAAGGAGGATGCAATAAGAGAGAAAACCACACTGGTAGTCTGGGCTTCCAAGGCCTGTCTCCAAAACACTGGATTCTCAGGATGGGACAAAGCTTGGTGACAGCCCACAGAGGAGCTGGAAGGGCATATGGGTCCATGATGGAGGAATATGAGCTTCACTGACAGGGTGACAGGGCCCAGGAGGATCCCTGGAAGGAAGGGCACCTCAGCCTTCTAAGGGGCTGACTGAATATAGAGGGGCTATGGGGGTGCTGTGGGGGTGCCGATGGCCCAGGCCCCAGGCTTCTCTTCACAAATAGGGAAGGGTGGCCCAAGCACTCGCAGGCACTAACTTCCCCTACTCTGAGGTCAAGGGACAGGAGGAAGGCTACTTTTGAGGATTTGGCAAGCAGCTCCACTCACTCCTATGAGCCCCGGGCTACCTGCATCTCTGAAGGGAGGAAGACACGCAGCAGAGAGCAGACAACGCGAGCGCGCACCTGCAAGGCTCCATGCCCTGCCCTGCACTCATGCACACAACGGCAGACACCAGCGCCCGGGCCGGCCAGCCACCGACCCAGGACCTGGGTGGCCGCTTCTTGCCAGAGGCAACTTCACTTCCCCAAGATACTGTCCCAGCGGTCCCAGGGCCGAAGTGCCCCCCCACACTCCCTGCCCACCGGCTCCGCCACCCTTCTCAGGAGCCGCGGCCAGGACGAGCAAGTCGGTAGCCAGAGACCCAACTCAACCGAAGCTCCAGTTAGGTCAGGAGTCGGGCTTTGCGCCCAAGCACAAGCCTAAACCACCGACGCGGAGAAGCTGGGTCACCGCCTCCTCAAACTCGGGCCGTCCAAAGCCGCGTAAAGCAGAGGGGACGCCCTGCCGGGGTGGGCGACCTGTGGCACACCGGGGGGAGGGGCGGGGCGGGGCGGGCGGCCCTCGCGGGTCCGCGCCGCCCTCCGGCCCCGGCCCTAGTTCCGCAGGGCCGAGGATCCGCGACGGAGCCGAAGGAGTGCCCGTCCCGGGCTCGCAGAGGGGGACGCGGCAGCGCCCCGGGCCGCGGCAGCCCCGCCCCTCCCTCCCCGGGAGCTCTCGCACCCGGCCGCGCGCGCCCGTCCGGAAACGCGCAAAGGGCGAAGGCAGCAGAACCCCGAGCGCCGGCCGGGCGGCCCCCTGGGGGCTCTCACTCCGCCCGGCGCCAGAGTTCGGCTCAGCGGGGTTCGGGCCAAGGCCTCCGGCCCCTCGCGGGCCATCTGGGCGAACAAAGACAGCGCCGCCCGCAGGGCCGCCCCTGGGCAGGAACGAGGGAGCCCGAGGGGCCGAGCCCGGACCTGGGAAGCCGTCCTCGTCCCCAGGGGGCGCTCGGGGGGGTCGGCATCAGACAGTGAGGCGGGCAGGGCCCGACGCTCCGGCGGGGGCTCGGCGTTCTACTCACCCGCCCGGCGACGACGGCGGCGGCGCGGCCCGGCTCAGCCGAGGAAGTTAGAGCAAGTTCGGCAGCGCCGGGCGGAGGGCGCGACTCCGGCCGTCCAAGCGGCGGGGGCGGGGCGCGAGGGGCGGGGCCGGGGGCGCGCCGCCGGGCGGCGGCCGAGGAACGGGCACCACTTCCCTGCGCCGCCCAGTGCACCCCGCGCTCCTGGGCCCGCCCCGGCCCCGCCCCTCGCGCCCCGCCGGCTCGCCCCTCCCCCAACCAGCGCGGCGGCAGAGGCGGTGGGGCCTGTCCCGGGCCCGCCTCTTTTGTGCTGCTCGGGGCGGTGCCGGAGGCGGGGGGCAGACCGGCCGCCCCCTCCCGTGGTTGCGTAGCGCCGACTGAACTCGGCCGCGGCTGAGCGTTTGTGGCCACCGCGAGCGGCCAGCCGACGTACGATGCGCGGTCGCCTTGCGGACCTCGCCTCTGATCCGGCCCGACCCGAACCTAGGAAGAGCGGGATTTGCGGGGATCAATGGGAGGCCACATCTCGAGGAATACGGGAGTGACCGGCTGGAGGTGGGCGCGGAGTTAGATACGTGTCTGTACTGAAAATCGATGGTGTTCCTGCCCGACCTGGGAGGCTAGGCCTGGGGCGGCAGGCTTCAAGAAAAGGGTAGTAAATTAACTTTTTTTTCTTTGCAAACTGGGCAGTAAAGACCCCCCTTTTGGCCTTGGTGCTAAACATACCTATCTTTTTTTGGATCGCCTGCCGAGATGTGTTTCTCACCTTCCTGAGGTGGTGGCTGGGAGGCAGGAAGGGGAGACTGGAGGACCCATCTAGGATGGAAAAGTATTCACACTGCTGGCTGGGTTCTGGTGTTTAAAAAGGCTGACCCTTGTGGTCTCAGCCCACCTGTCTGTAAAATGAGTAATAAGAGTAATAAGAACATTACTGATTCTTAAAACATTGGGGTTGTGGGGGAGGTTTGCTCTGTTGGGCAACAGATAACAGATCTATTAAAATTGGGCCAAGAGACTGGTTGCACCACATTCTAGTACAAGCAAGCGTAAGGTTAAGCCAATGTAAAGAGGAGATCTTGAAAAGGAGACTGTTCAGTCCATGCCCAGTTTCTTTTTGTTTTTTTTGTTTTTTGTTGCTGTTTCTTTTATGAAGGGGGCTGCAGCTGTCTGTGACACTAGGAAGCTCAGGGACCTCCTTGCGGAGCCTGTCCATTCACTCACTCCAGCAGATAGTGAGTGCTAGATTGAGTGCCCGATCTGTGCCAGGCCCGTTGTGATGCAGGGGGATACAACAATGAACAAGATAGCTGAGGCCTCTTGCTCCATAAAGTTTATAGTTAGTGGAGAAGACAAATAATTGCAAATTGAAGTAATTACTGGGACAAAAACAAGGGGCTGGGAGAGAGAATAAGAGCTACTTTAGATGGAGCTACCAGGGAAAGTTTCTTCGAGGAGGTGATGTTGAATTTGAACTCAAAAGAATGAGGAGATAGCCTTAGAAAAAGCCAGCAGAGACATTCCAGGTAGAAATCAGTATGTGCTGAGACCCTGAAGAAGATAAGTTCTGGCTATGTCAAGGAGCTGAAAACAAATCAATGTGATTAGAATAACCAGCTAGGAAAGAGAATCAGGATGACGTGAGGAGGTAGGCCAGGGCATACAAGGAATGGAGGCTTTTTATTAAACCACTGAAGGGTTTTACACAGAAGATTACCATTTACTGCTGTGCGAAGAATAGATTGGGTGAGTGGCAGGCAAGAATTAAAGGAAGGAGACAGATTGTTGTGGCCATCTAGACCAAAGATGATGGTGGTTTGGCCTGAAGTGGTGGCCACACTATGATGGTTAGTTGAGAAATGCTATTTGGGACATGGACTTTACAGGACACACTGATAGGATGAATGTGGGGGCAGGAAATGAGAAAACCAAAAATAACTTTCAAGTTTCTGGCTGGAGTAAATGAATGGACAGTGCTTCATTTATTGAATGGGGAAGCCTGGAGGAAAGAGACTACATCTCAGGGAGGAACATTAAGAATTCTATTTTAGCTCTGTTGAGTTTGAGGTAACTGTCAGAGATCCAATTCGATTGTCCAGTCACTGGGAGCTCAGAAGAGATGCTTGGGATGGAGGTGAGGCTTTGAGGGGCATCATCTTAAAGACAGTAAAAGCCATAGGATCTGAGGTCACCTAGGGTGAGGAGGTAGATATAGAAGAAGAGAGGGTTGCAGAAGGACTCAGAGCAGTCAGACAAAGGAGCCAGAGCAGGAAAGAAGACTGAGAAAGGGATTCTGGGGAGGAAAGAGGAGAACTAGGAGAGTGCTGTATCCCAGAGACTGAGAAAGGAAAGTGTTTCCAGAAAGGAGGGGTCAGCCGTGTTAGATGCTACTTAGAGATCAGGTAAGATGAGGACAGGGAAGGATCCGTTGACTTGCAACGTGAAAGTAATTAGTGAACATGATAAGGGCAGTGTCCCTAGAGTAGAGAGATGGGAACCAGACCTTAGTAGAACTACCATGTTTGGACAACTTGTCTAATGGAGAACAGGGAGGGGTCTAGAAAAGAAAGTGGAATCAGAAGGCTTTAGCAGAAATTGCCAAATGACCCTACTAACAATTCTCCCCCTTTTCCTTCAGCATCGAATTTCAAACTCTAGCTGGCCACATGGCTTCCCAGAATACAAGCAAGTTTCTCAGACTCTTTTGCATCTAGGTATGGTCATGATTCATTTCCAGCCCACAGGAGGTAAGTGGAGGTGTCCATGTGCAACTTCTAAAAACTAGCTTGAAAGGGCAGTGGTGTGCTTTCCTCAGCCATTGCTCTTTCCTGCTCACTGGAATACGTATGTAGCTGGAGCTCAGGTGGCCATATTAGACTTTGAATGGAAGCCATAATTGAGAATGTTAGACTATATCTGGATTCTAATGTGTAGGGAGCCAGCATACCTGCTCTGGGTTACCTTCCTCTTGACTTTGTATATAAAAGAAAGAAATTTCTGTCTTGTTTAATCCTTTGTTTTCTGATACTTAATAGCCATATCTAATTTTATTTTTGGTAGAATTCAGAGGGTTTTATTAAAAGATGGACGCTACTAGAGCAGATTTGTAGAGGGAAAGGATAGAACCAGTAGAGAAGGCAGGAGTGATGATTCTGAAGAAAGGGTAAAAGGAGACGAGATATGAGCACTAATGGAGAGGGCACCTGTGATAGAGAGGTATCTCTGCCATTATTAAGGAGAGGAGTATGGAGGCAGAGATGGTTCCAGTGATGGTTGGGATTGGAAAGATAATCATTCACACCTGATGATTTCTACTTACTCATGGATGTGAAGAAAGAACAAAGAGGAGTTAGAGGGGGAAGCCATTTGTGAATCACAGACTAGGTGATGTTGGAGTTCTTGCCAGCCTGAGCAGCTTCTGGGAGATAGCTCTGTTCTGGACCAGTTGGCCATACTGCTGGAGGCATGAACAGGGTGAGGGAAATGCCCAGAAAGCCACCAAGTCTCCACCCCACTTCTAATTAGGCCTCACTTCACAGTCAGTTATGACACTTGCCTACCATTCCCAGCTGCCATATGAGGCCCACTAAGCTTTACCTGACCCATTTTTATAGCACTATGTGGGAGGGGAAACTACAAAGACCATCAAGGATATTCAAAGCAGAACAGGTCTATTTTATTTTCCTTTATTAAAAAATGGAAATGAAGTGAACATGGACAGCCCCAGTTCAAAAGGGCTATATTGAGCCCTAGCCAGTCTGGCTCAGTGGTTGCAGCATTTGCCCGTGGACCAATGAGTTGCAGGTTCATTTCCAGTCAAGGGCACATACCTCGGTTGCGGTTTGGTTGCAGTTTGGTCCCTGCCTTGGTCAGAGTTGTGCAGGAGGCAACCAATCAATGTGTCTCTCTCACATCGATGTCTCATCCCACCCAACACATACACACTTTATTTGAACATGCATGGAAAAATATCCTTGGGTGAGGATTTTAAAAAGGCTATATTGTAACCAGTGACTTAGTTTCCAAGCTAGCCCCTAGAACTGTAATTGACAAGAATATAGCTGAATTACAATGCAGACTGCAAGCCTGAGGTGAGCATTATGGGAACAAAAAACAGGACAAGGAGGAGGAAAACCAAGAAGCTGAGAGTTTCTTCTCTTTTTCCTGGACCTGGAGTTAGCTATAAATAAAATTTTAAATGGAAGAAGTTGGCCTTTATCTTTCTCTGACTTCCTCCTTACCGTCTGTCCCAGTCCAGTCTCAGTCTGGTCCCAGACCCAATACTGTTCTTGCTCATCCTGGGCTCCACTCTGCAGCATCTCTGGGTTTATTCAGGCCAAGAGTGGGGGGTGAGGGGCAGGAGCTTGATTAGAAGAGAGGCTTGGTTCTCACCCTCTCCTAATTATCAGCCCCTTGATATTGAGCAAAACACTTTACATCACAAAACACTTCGAGCCTTAGTTATCTTACCTATAAAGTCAAGATAATAGTAAAATCCACCTTACAAACTTCTAGTAAGAATCAAATGAAATAATGTTTATAAAACATCATGTGAGCTGTAAAGAACTCTTTATTTGTTATCTAGGAATGCTGCCTTAGTAGAGCCAGACTACCTAGGATCTTCACATTAGAGCATTTGGGTTAGAAGTGGGAAAATCCCACTCAAAATAATTTAGGCTAAAGGAGGGGAGATTACTGGGAGAATACTCATGTCACTCACGGAATCATAAGAACTTAAAACTAGAGTGACTGGGGGCTGATCATGCAGGTTACCCAGACCAAGAGCCTCTCCCTCTGTCTCCTGATGTTCCCAGTCTGCCCCGCGTAGGAGATGTGACTGAATAACTCTACCCTCTAGGTTGGTATGAGCAGATCCCAAGGAAAGACTGATTGGTCCAACTCTGGTCATATGCCCACTCCTGGACCAGTCACTGTGGTGAAGGAGAGAGGATTCTGTAACTGGACCAGGTCTGATGCACATGCCCATCCCTGTGGTTAGTAGGGCAACACCTACGCCAAAGAAAAGAGTTGGATGTGTAGAACCAACATAATTCCTGGTGTAGCCTTATATATGTACGCCTATGTACGCCTGGTATTCCTTAGGCCCTAAGCAGTCACTGAAAGGTTTTAAGCAGACTAGTAAATTGTTACATTTGTGCTTTAGGATCTCTAAGGCTGTAGTAGGAGGAATAGACTGAAGGGAACAAGACTGAAGTAAAGAATAGTTAGGAAGGAAGTTGTTGCAGTGGTTCATGAAGTTGACAATGAGGAAATGGAAAGAGGTGAACAGATTCATAAAACGTTTAGACGGTAGAATTGAATGGTGACTAATTGGATAGAAAGAAGAGAAATAAAAAGATACAATCTGGCTGCATTGATAGTGATGCTGTTCACTGGGACAAGGAATCCAAGTGAGTGTGTGTGTGTGTGTGTGTGTGTGTGTATTTGATGAGGGGTGATGACTTAAATCTCTGAAGAGAGGCAGGGGTGGGGGGCAGTTTGCTGTTTGGAGTTCAGAAGAGACATCTAAGCAGAAGCTATAAATTTGGGATTTGTGTTCAACTCCTATAACAGCAACTCAACTACATTGCCTTTAGCCAGTGGGTTTAGTTGCTGTTTTCTGCAGTTGTTGAAAATCTCTGACATAACAGAAAGTCTAAAGGTAAGCAGAGCAAGGCTGGTCAGCAGCTCCACAGTGTCACTCAGGCCCCCAGTCCATTGTGTAGGTCTGCTCTGGCTGGCCTTTCTGGGAAGCTTTCATCCTCAGAGTCAGCCTGTGGGAATTCAGTGGTGCTCCAGCTCCAGCTCCAGCTCCCCACCTGCATTTCAGACAGGCAGAACAAACAAAAAGGACAAAGGAGCAGCACCTGTGTTGGAAAGCAAAACTTTCCCTGATATCCCCACAAACTGCTGCTCATGCTGGTCAAGACTAGTCACATGGCAAGTCTTAATCCAAGGGAGGCTGGGAAATGCAATTTAAAAAATCTAGGTCCTTGAGCCTGTTTGGAAGAAAGAAGAAGATAATGGATATTGAGAAAGCAGCACATGGATGATAATTAAAATCATGGGAGTAGAGGAAATTATCCTGGGACTGGGAGATGAGAAGGGAACAGGACTGAAGCAGAATCCTGATGAACACAAAATTGGGGATGATCAGGAAGAGAAAGAGGAGCAGGACCAAGGAGACTGAAAAAGAGTGGTCATGAGGTAGGAGGAGAGCCAGAAGGGTGGTGTTTATGGAAGTCAAGAAAAACTAATGTCTCAAGAAGAAAGGAGTGGTCCTAAGTCTTCAGTGCTGCAGGGAGGGCCCACGAGATGATGCTGAGGAATGACCGTTGGGAGCTCCCACGAACTGTTTCAGTGGAATTGTTTGGTCAAAAGCCATTTAACAGTGCACTGGAGAATAAATGAAGAGAAGGCAGGTTGCTAGCTTGAAGATGATGAGGGTAACAGGCTGAGGGAGATATTTATTTATATTAATTTATTTTTGTAACAGATGTTTCTCCTTTTTCCCCCAATGACACCCTCCTCCTGACCCCCCCACCCCCACCCCAGCATTGTAGTCTGTGTCCATTGGTTATGCATACATGCATATAAGTTCTTTGGTTTATCTCATCCATTTCTCCTTTCCATCCCGCCCCCCTTCTCTGAGGTTTGTCAGTCTGAACCATACTCCTTTCTATGTTTCTGGGTCTATTTTGTTCATCAACTTATTTTGTTCATTATATTCCACAAATAAGTGAGATCATGTGGTATTTATCTTTCTCTGGTTGGCTTTTTTCGCTTAGCATAATACTCTCAAAGTTCCTCCATGTCGTCTCAAATGATGAGATTTCTCTTTCTTACAGCTACATAGTATTCCATTGTGTATATGTACCACGGCTTTTTTATCCACTCATCTATTGAGACTTGGGCTGTTTCCAGATCTTAGCAATTGTAAATAGTGCTGCTGTGAATATAGGAGTTCATACATTCTTTCTGATTGGTGTTTCAGGCTTCTTAGGATATATTCCTAGGAATGAGATCACTGGTAATGGCAGTTCAATTTTTAATTTTTTAAGGAAACACCGTATTGTTTTCCGTAGTGGCTGCACCAGTCTGCATTCTAACCAGCAATGTACTAGAGACCCCTTTTCTCCACACCCTCACAAGCACTTGTTGTTTGATGATTTGTTGATGGCGGCCATTCTGGCAGGTGTGAGGTGATGCTCCATAGTGGTTTTAATTTGCATTTCTCTGATGATTAGTGGCATTAAGCATTTTTTCTCTCTAGGCTATTTCTAAGCATATATCTCTAGGCTATTTATATGTCCTGTTTGGAGAGGTGTCTATTTAGGTCCCCTGCCCACTTTTTAATTGGGTTCTTTGTCTTCCTTTTGTTGAGTTGTATGAGTACTCTATATATTTTGGAAATTAACCCCTTATCTGATCTATCATTGGCAATTATGCTCTCCAATATAGTGAATTCCCTTTGCATTTTGATGGTTGTTTCTTTTGTTGTGCAGAAGCTTTTTAGTTTGATGTAGTCCCATGTGTTAATTTTTTTTCCTTTGTTTCTCTTCCACCAGTTCTCAGCCTGTGGGTCATGACCCCTTTGGGGGGTCGAACAGTCCTTTCACAAGGGTCGCCTAAGACATAACAGTAGCAAAATTACAGTTATGAAGTAGCAACGAAAATAATTCTATGGATGGGGGGGTCACCACAACATGAGGAACTGTATTAAAGGGTAGCAGCTTTAGGAAGGTTG